TATCTAGAAGGTTCGTGAAGGTTCGAGTGTTTCCCAGACTTGCTGTATTCTAGTATATAAGCCGGCAAATAAAGTGACGTCAAGAATAGTTGCAGAGATTGAAGATACAGACACGGATAATCGAGTCAAGCGGGTGGTAGGCACCGTATGTAAAATTCGTGAATCGTTGTTAATTATAACGTGTGTTTAATTTAAAGTGACTGTGGAAATTAAGTGTATTGCAAATTTGAAATTGAGAAAGAATAAACTAGTTTTATTTAAGAAAGGACTTGTATAGCAGAAGAGTCTCTGAAAGAATTTTTACGGAAAATTAACAAACGAACACAGACGTAACATTAGTAATAGTATGGCCTATCTTATTGTCTTCTGACAAGTATAGTTGTACACACCATAACAACTGTTGTTATATCCATAACAATATATATTATGCTTATATAATGGCGTTCCGACCAATGCTGTGTTGCATCCTAGATCCTAGTCGGCCTGAAGATCTCTGAATTGAGCGAAATGCGCCGTTGGCAATAGATATGACAAATATAGTGCGGTTGGAATACTGGTATTAAACACTTCTAATATTTTAAAATCCCTAAGAGGACTAGATAAATAATGTAGTGTTTAAAAATTTAATAGGAATACTAATGTCTTATGACAAGTATAATTGTAATAAATTAAATTTGCATATACAAATTACAGTATACGTTACGCCGATAATATTTTAATTTATTAAGACTCATTTAAACTATAAGTGATTTGTTATTCAACATATTGTTTTAACTATAACATCATGCCGTTTCCAAATGCATTTAAGTACTTGTGAGGCCTGGGCATATACTGAAGTTATAGTTATAACCAACTAACGTTAAAAATTACACAAACTTAAGTATGCCCAAAATTAGTTTCAAGCATATCTAATGCTAGGCCTAAACAAAACGTTATTCTATAGGCTACACTGAAAATGGTCTGATGATCTGTAAAAATTAAACGTTATACGTTAAAACATTAAAAGAAAACAAATATATTACAACGTTTCTTAAACTTAAACCTGAAGGTTAGGTTTATAAATTAAATGATAACGAAATTACAATTTACATTTAATTGCAATACTGTCTGAAGTGTGCGACTAACGTTAGTCCTACGTGATAAAAAGCCTTTTTTATTTATTTTTTTTTGTGCTTGCTTGTACGTTATATTATAACTAGTGTTATCTTACAGAATAGTTCAACTTCAACAATTTTACAACTGTGGTCTAAGTTAATCCGCTCTATAGGTAACAAACAAATATAATTTGAGTTAGTACTAGAACACATTACTTACCAACATTAATTAAGCCGATATTAAGAGTATATTTACTGAAGCTGAGAGAGTTGATTTCGTTTCTGCAGCAAGTCAATGTACTTACTAAACGTTGATTTTTATCTTACTAGCAATTGGTACATCTTATTTTTTTTAGTGCGGCGTTTGAATAGGAGGGAATGGGTTGGGGGATGACTAACCTACAACATTTCAAGCTTATTATACAGCGAAAAATTGTAAATACAACACGCTTTCTGCAACTCTGTATTTTATTTTTGGAAGGAAAAATCCAAACACTACTTACCGATAAAAATAAGGCTTTAGATATATAACTTTTCATGTTTCTCCTGTAGATCAATAACATTATCCATATAACTGGGGCGCATTTTAATTTATTTTTCGAAATATTGACGAAAAGAAAGCGAAGTTTTCAGTTTGCAACTAATTGTTAAACGTTTTCCTGTCTAAAGTGGTAAGTAGACAAAACACTTGGAAACTCAGTTTTGTTAATAAAGTATTTTATACAAAAGAATGATTTACCGAAGAGAAACTGAAAAATAAACAACCTCTATTTGTTAGAGGAAAATAAAGATTTCCTTTTGTGGCTAATGAAGTTAAAAGTTCGTAATTTTTTTTTTTTTTTTTTTTTGTGAGTGCTTGATCGTCATTTAGAATTTGTTTACTCGTGGAAAATTATCGTCTTTAGAGATGATGTGTCAAATAAGTTATGAAAGTTTAGGCATCTAGTTAAAAACTCAAACTTACTGTACCGCAGTTTATTTAACAGTGAGTACAAAGGCAAGAGATAATCCATCCTTTACTTTAAACAGCTGCAATTTGATAAATGGGACAAACTTTCCACGATAACTTACCACCCCTTTCTCTGCGTCTGAATTTTACAAGTATTCAAGAGTGTGTTGGAATTTGTATTTACATATTTATAAAAGTCAATATAAATTTACATTTCCTCTCCTGTTCTTTGAAAAACGACTTGTAATTCTTTCTTTCAAACAGTATTATTGTTTATTATGTTATAACGGCTTGTGCTGGAGAAGCGTTGTGAAATGGTCGCTAGTTTGTGTAACAGTAAATCTTAGTATAACTAATAATAATTTTTTTAAATCTTTTTTTTTTGTTTACTGATTCTACACTACTCGTTTACGGTAAGAACACACAGAGAATCTTAACAGCGTAACTTGTGCGCTGCCGACGAAGCCGTTCACTCAATATCAAATCTTATTTTAGTATGTTTTTCATTTATTCTTTCACATGCTTGGAAGGCAACTTTATATTGTGACCGTTTTTTCCCTGATCAGTGAAACTTGACAAAGAAAACTAGGCCTATTTTCTTTTAATTTTAGTCTCGTATAACTAATAGTTTGTTGTAAAATGTATATTTTTCTTTATTTTATTGTTAGTTACAGGTGATTCTGAAGTTATGTAGACTTGGACCTACAAATATACGCACAAAATCTCCAAAAGTATTGTATTATTTTATCGGAGAATGCGCCAGTCACGGACTCCCGTATTAAAGCAACATAAAAGTCATCTGGATTTTCTTCCTCTAGAGTAAATCAGAAGCTAGATATAAAGAGCTACCTGGCATAGTCGCCCTATCTTCGATGTATATGCCGCTTTTCAGCTATCCAGAGCGTTTCAAACAGAGGCGGAATTAGCGCGGGACAGACGGGTCCCACGATGCCTGGTCTTTTCTTCTGAAAAAAGGGGCCCTGGTCATTTCTTTTCCCCTGAACTGCTTGTTCTGCCACTGGTTTCAAGGTCGAAAACCGGCGAATAGCCCAAATCGAGATATATTGTTTTCGTTCATCATCATCTTTGTGCAACAGGACTAGTGCCTACCTAGTTCTCGTAGTAACTATAGTTTTATATCATTTGATAGAGCAAAACAGTCTTCACGATCTTTGAGTACCTTTTTTATTATTCTATGCAAAACTTATAAAGCTTTAGAATACACTTTATAACCTAGTAACCCACGTACGCCATCTTATAAAAAGTATACAAACAAGTATAAGGAAAAAAAAATTATCGCAAAGTAAAAAAATCTAAGTAGGGCTGCCTACTGAACTTGAAAAAAAAAGGAACCAAACAAGTTAGGGATGGAAATAGACATATCATTTGATCGGCTAATGATCACATAGCAGATTAAGTTGTTTTAGCTTTAGATGGAGAATAAAATCCCTACATTACTGGCTTCCTCACTGGCAAAACAAATAGAACTAGAATTCGCAATAGTAAAATCTTACTTTATTGTAAAAAAGTGGTATTCTGAAGGTTAACTAAAGGAAAGGTATAATAATGAAAGCTAAGATTCTATTCAAACACAAAGCTTTAGGTAGACAAAGTTGGACCAGTAATGTAGGGATTTTACTTTCCGTGCAAAGTCAAGACGGCTTAGTCTGCTATGCGATCATTAGCCGAACAAGTGGGACATTGCATTCCCATCTCGTTTGGTTCCTTTTTTCAAGTTTAGTAGACAGAGCTAGATAGCTTTTTAATTTAGCGATGAATATTTTACATATATTTCTATGCAATAATAACTTCCGCGTAAGCTATGTACTTAGATCGAAACTAAAAATCGATCTGGTCACCAGTATAGCTAATTTAATGTACTTTTATTGTGTTTCTACCTATAAATATTAAAATATATTGTTTCATCAGTTGGGTTCTCTCGCTGTTAACATCCGTTAAATAAACTTTAGAAAGATGTATTTCATTTTGTATATTGACTTATGGTATTTATACTTAAAGAAGACGCTACATATTAATAAGTTATAATAATATTAATGTCAGTCAATTGGCATTTAAATATGTAATAGATAACCAGTAATATTTAATGCATTATCACCGTTGTTCAGAGTAATGAAAGGACAAAACTTTTCCGTCAATGGAAAAATTTAGGATTACTGTTAAAACCTGAAAAAAAATTTTGTTCAGAATGTGAGAGCATGGACATTTTATTTTGCATTCATATCGTAACATATATTTACTTCATTTACTAGATTGTTTCAACACAATTCAGATTTGTCGGTGTCTTGCGTTATACTATAGCCCTATGATTCCCTGACACCTTCTTCCCTCCAATACAACTAACTAGATGAAGAACAAAAGCATTAGTACTACATAAACAACCTGGCTACTACATTCTCAGCTAATTGGTATGACGTATTCACTATACGATATACAATACGAATGGAACGTGACGATGTCTTGAAATTTGCACCAAATTCTTTTCTCATACACAGTTAAAAATGGTTTCATTTAATTTGATAAAATACGTTTTTTTGAGAATCTCACACATGAATTCGGGACAAAACATAACAGAAAATTTAATTTTATGACACATTTATTTTGATGCAACACATATTACATTTATTCATATCTAGCCTCTAACCACAAGTTTCAGGAAAGTGGCTTTTAAAATTATATTAAAAATAAGTTTGACTGAGCAGCACCTCGTGAAGATACATTCTTTAAGGATTACATTAGGAATTACTGTATACATGAAGTTGGGTTAAAAGATATTCTTATATGAAAAAAAACAAGCAAGTAATTGCAAAGTTCCATATGTACATATTTATATACAAATATCAAAGCTAAAGATCAGAACTTTCTTAATAGACCGTTTCCATACTGGAGTCGTAAATTATCTGAAATAATGTAATTGTGTGTAATAAACTATGTCCTTGTTATTTTCTGTTTTTTTTTTTTTGTTTCTCTTCTCTACTGAGATGTCTGTGTACCCCATGAGTAAATGATACCTTTGTCATTTCTTAACAGATCGTGAATTCATTATTCTACTGGGCACCAATATTTTCTGAGCATTCACTACAGTGATCACTAGTTTTATCACTTTGTTTAAAATTATTATTCTTTAATAATAAAAAATAATAACTGGGTCTCTTTTGGCAGTTTTATCAATTTTATTACAAAACTTTTTTTAAAATCTTCATCAGATATCACATCATTCAAAACCACAATATCTACTTGGTTGTTGTTAATTACAAAGCTACACAATGGACTATCTGATATGCCCACCATGGGCATATCGAAACCCGATTTTTAACGTTATTACCCTTACCACTGAGCCACTAGGGGGCCTTGCTTGTTTGTTTTAGAGCAAAGCCACATTGGACTATATGCTGTGTCCACTGCAAGGAACTGAACCTCAGTTTTTGAGTTGTCAGTTCATAAACTTACTGCTGTCCCACTTGCAGATCACTAAGTGGTTAAAGCCATAAGGATAAAAAAAAAAATGCTTCCTCTTGCTACACCTTTGTTCATTAGAAGACTTCTCCTTTTTAACATAATAGTAATAAAACAATTGTTAATATTCTGAGAACGATTTTCTTTTCTTATTGAACAGACATTACATCACACACTTCTGTTGTTATCATAGTAATTTATATCTACAGTAATTTAATCACTCATTATAATTGATCACATACTTATGTCTTATAGGGCATGTAAAATGAAGATTTTGTAAATTTAGATATTTTCATTACAGTGTAAATAAATGATGATTCGAACTTGAAGCACTTTAAATAATTTTTTTATTGGTATCTTTGTAAAATTAAAATAATAAAAGTCCAAAATATGCGTTGTATTCAAGATATGTGTAGTATCTTTAATCATAAAAAATACTTAATAATAAGATGCAGGCTTCTCTTCATAAATTGACCATAATTTGCTATTATACTTAATGCTTTAAATCTGAAACTATATTTAAAAGTTGGTTGTTACAAATATAAAATATGTATAGGCTACAAAACTGAAAAACATCATTGTTCTAGTATAATACATGCAGACAGTATAACATTAATTTACTAATGTTATTAAAATCCAACCTTTGGCCTCACTGAGAAAAAGTTTTTTCATATCGAACAAACCTTAATTAGAATTATTTCTAAGACTAAGCAGTTCGCCTCATTGTTCACTTTTCTCATTTCTAATTATTCCAACTTAGAAGTTTGAATTGTTGAAAAAAGGAATATTAGTTAGTATAATTACTATAAAAAGTGGCATAAATGTGCAACATTAAAATGGTTATTAATATGATACAGTCACAAACCTAAATTTTTAGATCTGTCATTCTGATAAGAAAAAAGATCTACATTAATTTTAAGCAACTCCATTGATGACCAAAATATTAAACAAATTCTGCTTCATATAAACGATCATAGATAAACCAGCAAAAATATATAACTATATTGGGATGTTGAAAAAGTACAATCTTGATAACAGATGAAGTTGATGTACAAGTTGGGCCATTCCTTGAATTCCCTAATAAACAGATGTATCATATAGTAAAACAAAATACAACAGTGTACTGGTGCTTAGTTTGAATAAATTCTTCACGGATTGATATTTTCTCAGGAGTAAAAAAAAAAAATATATACACACACACACACACACACATATATATATATATATATATAT